TACAAAAAATGTTTCTACTAAAATTTTAATATTGATTTTAATATCAATTAGCTCTAAAAGTTGAGGGGCCACACTTTGTGGCTATGGGGGCCGCATGTTTGACACGGCTGCTCTACAACATGTACCAACCATATTAAAAACCTGTAAATAAATTTTGTATGCATACAATAATTATCTCAATAACAGTACCACCCAGTGTAACTTCTGGGGTAATTAATTTTACTGTCTGTACATGTTTCGGTCGGCAATTGTCGTCTTTAGGTGTTCATGTTATCCGATATTTCTATCGTAGTAATGGCTGGCAGTAGTATTTTTCTCCTTGCTCGAGTAAGTTATCTTCCATGCGTTGCCTTGTGGTTATCTATACATACAATGATAACAGATAACATAAAGCAAGATGGAAGTCCAAAAAACGGTCATACCTCATATTTTATAGCTAGACGTGATTTGTATTTGTATTGGCCAAAGCTGTTATATAATTTTAATTCGATTTTAAATTAACTCCATTTAATGTACAACTTTTGGTGGGTACTGTTCCATGAAGGTCATTATCAACATGAGGGTAACAGTTGACACACTCCACGTATATCAATATTCATATGCGTATTTTTCAGACGAAGCATACGTAATTTATATGTCATTAGAAAAACAGACATTTACATAAGAAAGACCATGCACAATTTTCCTCATAATCTGTTGTCACATGATTTCACACGCACGCCTCTCGCACGAAAACTGTCAGGGCGACACAATTTTAACATAAAACACGGCAATGAAATGTTTAAACTCTTACTGACCCGCCTATAACATCCAATTATGCAAGACTGCTTATTCTGTCACAAGTAAACAAAGTAATATAAGCATAAATATTGAGCACTAATACGTACATACCTCAACGTAGCTTCAGCCATCTTGCCCGACTGCGCTATCTCACTCACACAAGTGGACTGACAAGGCTGTATTAATGGCGCTGAATTTAAAACACAACATCTCACTGCACCAGGTCACAAATCTGATTATCACTGTTTATCATTGATAATATGAGTTATCCTCTCCCTTGAGTCACATATATTATAGGACGCAGTATATCCACGGTACCTTGAAAAGTTTCCTCAACGAACCCAAACAACCCAGCGTGGGGAAGCAGGAAATAATCAGTGAACACAAATAAATCAGACACACAATTTAAATATTTTTAAATACTTTAATGACTTCTAACTGCACCATTATGGACAGTGATGACTCCTATGCACTAAAACATGCACAGTAAAGAAAAATGCATGGACTCATTCATCAAATCCTTATGTACAAACGTCACTTGCCCTTCGGCAACAACTATTTTTTTGTAGGTAAAAACAATGCTTTCTTTTCACAAAGTGAAAAACGTACCATATCTAATCCCTGAATTGTGTGAACCATATTTAAATAATAAACATCAGTTTAATTTACTGTGTTGTAGGTTGTTTCCATCATTGATATGCACACAATTACTTCAAATTTTTTGGTGAACCTAACATAGTATTAATTCCTCCCTTTTACAAATTAATTTCAACTGCTAACAACTTCCATTATTAGTATACACTTGTTAAGAAGAGAGATTGCCACTGTACTTTTCAGTCATACATTTACAACACAAAAATGATACAAAGAATACTGCCTTTCCCTACGCGATAAGAAAAAACTAAGAAAACCACCCTCAATATTCAGCAACTAAATTTGCACTTTCTAAAAGCATCTCTTCCATCAGTATGCATGCGCCATTTTGCTTGCTTACACGTGCTTATTCTCAACACTGTCATACCTATTAAGCAACGTGTTTATATATAACAGAACAAACTAATGAATCATTCCTTGCTTCATCACACCTGCTCATTGCATTGACAAACATGAGATCAGAGGAAAATTAACAATATTTAGTGGGTTATAAATATCTTATTACAGAGTGCGTCTTCCTGCATTATACATTTACATCGTAGTATTATTCAAAAGGAATGTGCTACACAATACATGTGAACTAAAGTTCTGAAACACCAACTTTCGAGAGGGAAAAACGTTTTCTGAAGAGTGGGTAAACGATTTCCAAACAAGTTTACAACGATTTACATGTTATAACATTCAGAAAATGTAGAGACCATTCAAGACGTTTAATTACATAACTGCATGCACGGAATTTGCTGCCTTTTACATTGATCGTGCTCATCCAGCAGTAACCATACGACAGGAAATAAACGAAATTTCCATTCATAGTAGTATTTATAAGCGTACATTCATAAAAAAAAATGTTGAAATACATCACACTGAAATTAAGCGTAATCCAGTTGTTTTTACTTTTTATAGGCAATACGAACAAATATAACAACGGTATTTATATTAAACGTTCTTATCTAATAGGGCTAAATTTTTCTGTGCAACGGGTCGCATTCTCTTGCACCCTCACCGCTTCAGCAACGGAACACAGAACTTCCTCCGTAGTCGCGGGCCTTCGCCAGCCAAATCCACTGAACACTTCCACTAATGTTAACACACTCAACACTATTAACATTTGCCTTAAAAGTTGACCATCGTCATCACGTACATTACAGACCTCCACAGGGCTGCGAATTTCAAAGGAACAATAACTTCCCTCTTGCCTTAGAGGGATATTCACAACTCCAAATGGCACATTCGTAGTGGACTACGAGTTTCTTCGTCGGAATCGTAGAAGTACCTTGAACAATTAGATGCAAATAGTTAGATGTAATTCAACAACTGAGACTGGTATCATTGTACGCCTGATGACGACCCAGTATAAGGGTCATATTTTATATACATTTATAAGGGTCATAATTTATATACATTTATATACCATATTTATAAATACCTCTGTTTAGGCGAAAGTCCTCTCTGAAGACGCCGAACTGCCTCTTTAATTAGGCTACCATCACGCAGCAGCTCCTGTAGCATCTCGTACGGATCATCACTTGCTGCCGTTGAATCTGAGGATTTATTTGACAATTTCTTATTTACAGTGACACACGAATGTCCACTACAGTTGTTACTCGGCGATCCTAAACACGCATCACAAGATGAATCGCCCCAACTCCGGCTGGGTATTCTATATGGCGATGCTCTGGATTTGTGATGAACCGAGAAAGCTGGTCGTGATTTCAGTCCTGCAGATAACCGTAGGTTCTCCTTTATCTCTGATACAAGCTCCTCCATGTCTCTAGCAAGGAAGTCTTGCGTTGTATTACTATTGCTGGCCGACAAAACACACTTCTCTTCTTTACTTGGCATTGCGATGATTAAGGTATTCGGCAGTTCTCCACCTCACACACACAAAAAAAACAGTAAAAATCCTTATGACGGTGTGCGGAACTTCCCACACGCCCTTCTCTGCTCTATAGTGAATGGGTCAAACATGAGACTGCTATATTATTGTTTTCCTTAGCACACAGTAATCTTCCGCCGCATTACATAGTACATGTAAACAAACACAACTCTCTTCCATTTATAGCATTTAACTTAGACAATTACTAATACCTATGTAATTTTTACTAAATATTTAATTAATTTGCAATGTTATTACGCCAAAATTTCTAGTTTAACACCAATGTAAACAAGGTATTTGGAACAAAGGTATGCGGAGTAATACACGCTCAAGGTTACTCTGTCCGTAACGTCATCCTGTAATGACGTCATACTACGAGAGTGTAAAGAACGTGGTGGGTTGGAATCAAACGGTAGTGCGTTGCAAGTGTCGAGCAGTGGGGGGAGACTCAAGGGGAATGGAAGTTTGCAGAAAGCGAAAATAGGGGCTTCGAATCCATAAATAAAACGTATAATAATAACAACAATACCAATGTTGACAGATTGGGCCGTTTCTAGGAGACGAATACGTAACCATGTTCCTACCAGCGAGCATCATCAATAGAAGGGCGTCCAGTGCTAGGTAACAGACCGGTAAACACATATCACAGCAAAAATGCGCAACAGTTGGGAGTCCGTTGCTAGGCAATGCATGGGTCGACAAGCCTGACAACAATACATGATATCCGTTGCTGAGCAATATTCGTATTAAATACAATTAATAATTTAACAATTAAGAAAGTACCATTATAAAATATGATTATTTAAAATACTTTGGTTTCAAAATACGTCGAAGTCCCTACAAACAGTATCACAGTATCAGCAGCTGAGGCACGTTTAACATGAGAACAATTTTTGCTGAAAACAGGCACTGAACATAGAAGAGTCTCTGACACCGCCGAGGGGGAACTCGAAGACCTAGAGTTAATAATAATAATAATAATAATAATAATAATAATAATAATAATAATAACAACAACAACAACAATAGCAAATTATTATTATTATTATTATTATTATTATTATTGCTATTATTATCATTTGTTTGTTTGTTTACTTCGCTACATTATTGATTTATATTAATGAAATTATTATTATTATTGTTGTTGTTTGTTTGTTTGTTTATTTGTCTGCAATATTGTGTTTTCCTCCAGTGCTTGCCTGTAATTTGTCTTTGACTTTATGTTGTGTTTGTCCATAATGTAATTACTTGTATCTACTCTGTGCTCTGTCTGTAATTGGCCTTGCGGATGTTGACTCGGCACATAAATAATAAAGAATTGAATTATTATTATTATTATGGCCATCATGGTCCATGAGGATGGCCATCTATGGCCGAAATATGTTGTGTTAAGATTTAAATGGTGGATAAACAATTGTTGCATTGTTGACGGACTGTGGGTACATAGACGTTTAATTAAAGATTTGCAACAGGATGCTGAAATACAGAATTACATTTTAATCAACCTAACTAGTTTCATGGGTACCCCAAACTCTATGAACATATTGTACAATACTTCCCTTCTAACTCAATCGTAGGCTTTCTTGAAGTCTACGAATAGCTGATGTACTGTCTCATTATACTCCCATTTTTCTCCAGTATCTGATAAATGGAAGATGTCTGGATCAGCAATTGATCTGTTACGTCGAAACCCTCACTGATGGTCCCAAATAATTTCATCTATGTATGGACTTAACCTTCAGAGAACAATTGTGGTTTTTTAAATAATATTAATAACAACAAAGTGCGGCATAAATTGTCAACAATTCGGGAGATTTTCGGATCTAATCTCGAATTCTCGCTCCTGTCCTTAAATCCCATGTTTTCGCTATTATATCATTTTTCTCTCAGATTACGATAAATCTTAACAAACCAAAAAAGCAAAACTATTCAGCATTATTTTGACCAGGATTTTTCAGTTAATTCGTTATAGGCCAGTTTATAGATATAAACGGAAATACTAATTGTACTTGATTAATTTGCCCATACAATTTAAACTAAACGTTTCTGTGTTTTATGCGATTTATATGCAAGACGTTGCTTCTTTTTCGCTGTAAGGACGAGGGAACACCAAGGAAACTGGCAACCGAAATGCAACCGCAATTTCCGAGAAATGTCGCCGATTTCATGCAGGCAACTGGTTTCCAGATTAGCAGGCGCACACTGAGGAAACTTATGTTTGATTAGTTGCTCACATCATCTTAAGTGGGTATGTTCGAACGACGTAATGCGTGATTGTATTTTTTAATTTCGTGCACTTACCTTCTGCAGTGGAAGATAATAATACTGATCCTGTCATAATATGATAGTTGGTAGCTGTGACCGGTTGAGACGGGGTGAGAAGAAAGGACGATGACCGTAAGGAAAATATTGGGATGTTAATTAATGTCAATTTATTTTAATCAGGAAATGTAGTGTTCACACGCGATAAGAAATTTTGGCGTACAGTGCAACAATTTTAACAAGATAGATGAGGATGGCCGTATATAGTCGAACCATGTAATGTGGAAAATGGTTACCATATAATAAGTTGTATTTAAGACGGAAATATATGGGACATTAATGATATATTAATTCAGCAGGATGCTTAAGTACAATATTAGGAGAAGAAAACATTGGGTGCATCCGTTCTTCTGGAATAATTTAAACTGTTGTTCTTATATTAGTTCGAAAGAAACTGACCTGGATCCAGACTTCTTCGTCTAATGAGAATTTCTTTCCCAAGCCAAATTTTGTCCGGCCTAGCATAGCCTGGATGACATTTGTTATATATACCAGGCTGCTGCTCAGTTAACTGCACAGAAACATAATTAGCAGCTTCGTCAACCTTTCGTACCACCTTAAGAAACAAATGAATCACTGCCGCGCGATATTGAAAAGCGGACACTAGGATACCACGCGGCAATGCAATTATGAGAAGGCTTACATGCTCCGTTGCCTGGAAGTTGTGGTTGCTGTTACCTGAATCTGGGCTGCTCCATTCAGTAACGTGTTCAACTCAGGCTGATAACAGTTCTCGGAAATTGTGGTTGCGTTGCGGTTGCCAGTTTACTTGGTGTACCCTCGCCCTAACATTAAATTCAGAATGCAATTACGAAGAATATTTGATATAGCTGACATCTATTGTTGGATATGAATACTACTTCTTCTTCTTCTGCTTTCGCAGATAAGATGTGAAACAAGCGACTAACAATAAGCAATACATAAAATAGGATGACTACACTAGTATTGTGTTATCTTAAAGTGGTGCGAAATATACAGGAAGGAAAAGTGTGATGCATAATTAAGTGAATCTTAGGCAGTTTTCGTAATGGCGGATGTTCGTAATTGTATATTACGCTGCATAAGAAATTCACACGATCCAATAATTTTGCCAGACGAGGAAGAGATTTTTGTAGGTAGAGGACCGGTTACAAAAATCACAGACAAAAAGTGCTCCCGGAATCAAGGTGTTTTAATTAATATGAGTTAATAATATAACCTAAAATTACGCATAACATGAATGTATAATAACACCACAATAACATGTGCAGTGATTTAACAGTATATTTGTTTTCCAGTAAGTCTTCGTGCAGATTATGATGCGATGCAAGTGAGAATTAAACAGATGGGGCCTAATACAACAGGCGTGAATGGCTTGGCGCTTAAAAAGAGTGAAACTCAAGTTTTGAGACATGGTGACCGTTTGGAGATTTTGCTTGGGCAGTACGTTCACAGAGTAGAATTTGAGCCTCCGCCGTCTGTAGACAAACTCAGAACTGAAAGAGATGGAAAGAAGAGGAAACTTGATGAAGCCAGTCGAGTGAACAAGAAATTGTGTGATGAATCATTGAATATGGATGTAGATGAACCCAGCTCTGAGAGTAAATGGGAAACTATTGATAACGGAAAACTTTTAATTTATACAGCAAAGCATGTTGTAGCTCAGCCAAAGGTGAAAAGAATTGTTTTGTTTACATATGTGCTGTAATGAAAACATATGAATCAATATCCTACTTGTCTTCTCTCGTACTCAAAAATTATTTTTCTTTTTCTCAGTACCACCTCTTCCTTTATGCCCAGACAGAAGTCTGTATCAGAAAGACCCCAAAAAATGGAATTATCAAAATAGTAAAGTTGTTATAAATGATGAATGAAACTATAGTTAACCTAAGAACGTAACTGAATGAATGTCATATACTTGTATATTCAGGCAGGCTAAACAAAGGCCAGTCAGGAAGACAAGCATATCATGGTGTTGGACAAGGATGGTATTACAATTCCAAGTCTTTAAGTTAGCCATAGTTATTTTAACAACTTGGCAATTAAAGATGTGGTACCTGCTGTGTGTATTGATTTGCCATGAAGTTTATATACTCTCCAGTGGAGGCCTAAGTTTCAATCACTGTATTTTCTCATATTAGAGATGCTAGCAATGAACAAAAGTTTATCATTGAAGCAGCAATCTGTTCCTTGATCTACTGTGGATGTTATATTAGTAGAGTTCATACACTCCTTGTAAATATTGTGTTCATTTATCATGACAGCATTCACAGTAACACTGAAGTGGAGTTTATACAATTATTCCAACAAATGATTGTAAAAGAAAATTCTGGCTGTTGCTGTGACCTTTCCATTTCTTGTTATATGCTGGTAAACTGATTCTATTCTAATTTTCTCTGCTTTTAAATTCACTTTAGTGTGTCATACCAGTACAACAAAATTTGGTAATGTTGAGACCACATTTATTCATTTATCAGTGTCATTTATGCTGTATTTAGCCTTCCTGTTTAAATATTTCATTATCTCAAATGGCGCATTGTCACTTCCATGTAAAAAGTTTTTCAGTTGTCCAAATATATCTGTGCTGTCTTTCTTTGTGTGTTAATTTTCTCTGTATTTCCAATGTATCCTTGTTGGCATAATACATTTTCATTTTTTTTTCCCAGATTGCTGCATATGATCTTGATGGTACTATCATCACTACTCAGTCAGGTAATGTCTTTCCAAAAGACTGCAATGATTGGAAGATTTCATTTAGTGAAGTTCCTGGAAAGTTGAAGAAGCTGCATAACGATGGCTATAAAATTGTATTCATGACAAACCAAGCTGGTATAGGGCGGGGCAGTACTAATGTAGAAGATTTCAAGGCTAAAGTGGTTAGAATTGTGAATAAACTTGGTGTTCCAGTGCAGACTTTCATCTCTACTGGCAAGGGTATCTATCGAAAACCTGCCCCAGGGATGTGGAATGCACTTGTGGGAAAGGTATGTTATTAACTGTTAAAAAACTGTGACTGATATGCTTGGATATTCATGTGGTAATGATTGTTTGTTATTGTATGTGAGGTATTTTAGTTTGAAATTAAGAAATACTGTCAGAATTCTTACATCAGCTCTATCTATATTTTGGAGATTTCAGAAATTAATTCAGGGTAAGGAATACATTTGTAAATATTTTCTTATAGGCATTTGGTAAGATTCAAGGATATTTTGCAGCATCTTGGTTAATGGGGGAGTTTGAACCATTTGCAAGCACCTGCCCTTGAATCTTAATTGTTTTTGGTTAAACTCAGAATGTGAACTGACAGGCTTTGACTGAAGAATGGCTGCTTACAGGAAACTTGGCATCTTCTTGTATTATTGCCATGTTATTGCTTGTATGTACAAGGTTGTCACTTGAATTCATGTGTTGTAAGACGTGGCTGATAATCTTAGGTTGGTGGGCAACACTGAAAGATATGTCATGACAGCCAGAGCATTCAAATATGTTTACTGTCACCAGCAAGAAACCAAACATTACATTAAAAATTCTCCAAGTTTACCATAATTTGAACCTTGAGCCTGCCTTTGCTCTACAAGACAGTTACCATTTCGTTTCATTATTGAAATGTCAGTTCATGTCATATTATATAAGTGCAGATCAGTGATTCTTGAAAAGAACTTTGATAGTGGGTGGGGGGTTCATATGTGAAAAAGTCCACTCATATGTATATGTGCTACCAGACTCTTGTCAAATTTTGTGCTGTCGTAACACAAGAGAATTGATGTTACCAATTATTACCTATGGGCCTAATTCTTGAATATTCATACTCAGGACTTAATACCAATGTTGTACTAAAGGTGACTTATACTAACTTTTGCACTGATTATTCTGAGAATTTGTGGCAAGGAGTGTTTAGATAAGAGCTACTAGAACAATGTGAATTGCTTACCTCCTCCCACCAGCCCAGTTAAAGAAACCTCTTGAACATTCCCAATCAATAGAACAGTGTGGAAGCTTCAAGAAAAGTCCCAGTGTGGAAGGTTCTGGAATATTATGTCATCCAAGAGTATTTAAATGACTGATTTTGGATGGTGCATGGATGGTAGCAGAGTATCATAGTATAGTACAACAGCATAGCGGTATTCAATTGTGTGCAGTTGTGTACCAGAATAGTTGTATCTGTGACTGATTTGTAAAATCATGTAGTGCTGTCAAATAAACCAAGTATGTCATTTCATTGGTAAAGTGTGATCCACGGAATTTTTCCATAAACCCTCTCCTGTTGGAGCAAGGCCCGTTGATCTCTGAAGAGACTCTCATGCTCACACCCAGAATATCGTTCCATTTTCCTGCCCTCAAGCAAATCTCAGCCTTTGACATGGTTCTAAGCTAAGCCCACGTGGCATCCACAAGTACAATTGAGGCTGCATCATCAAGGGCATGAAGAGGACTGCCATATTGAGGTACTGGTAAAGAAGCATATAAAGTAATTGAAGCTCGGCCGCACCATAGCTCAAGCGGTTAGTTGCTGACTTCCCACCGCAGTGGCCCGGGTTAGATCCCGGGTCTGGTCAGGTGGGATTTGTGGTGGACAAAGTGGCGCTGGGGCTGGTTTTCTCCGAGTACTGCGGTTTCTCCTGCCAATCTTCATTCCACCAAATTCTCCATCATCATAATCGCCCAGGGCAGGTACAATGGGCCAATCGGTGGCTGGTGTGCCGAGTGGACCAAGTTGGACTCCACCCCCCACTAAGCGAAGCAAATTGAAGCTTCCTGCTTGAAACTGCTATACAAAATTGAGTCATAGCATAGTTCAACCAATTTAAGATGCAGTTTTTCTGGAGCAACACCGACTTGAGAACATGTTTTTGAAGAAGGCCATGTGAAGAGATGCTGTTAGCTGTGTCTGGCCTGTGGGCCACAGGTTAATCACCCCTGGTGTAGGAGGATTGGAGAATTCCATTGTCTTGGCATTGTCTTGCTTCCTGATATGAAGTGGAGAGACCTGGTTTGGTCATAAGGCTTAATCCTTTGAATAGTGCTGCATACACAACTTCCTGGCGGTTCTTCTCGTAAATGTTGATACATTTTGGTACCCACTTTTGACCCTAATGTCATATATCTGCCACAGTGCTTTGACACAGTGAGTGCTTTCGTTAGTAACAGCAGTGTGTGTGGGGCATCAGTTTTGGCATAATCAAGAGTGAACTCTTGACCTTCTGAGGAAATATGTCAAACTTTAACAAAATATATGCTGATAAACACAGAACACGTGTTGAACCTTATATTAAACATTAAGAGTTGAATCAAACTGTATATTGTTGGATATGAGGTTCTTGCAGCAGTGACTACGAAGATTATGGTCTTTAGATTGTAACACCATGCAGTTCAGAGAGTGTCCAATGTTTCAGAGTATCATATCGCCTCTAGCCTCACAGTAAACCAAGAAAGAAACTAGCACAAGCAGGCAGCAAGCTCAGCTTCCACAGTGTTACAAATAAGAAGACTTAATCTTCTTGTATTTATACTCATCTTCCCTATATTTATTTAACAGTTGTATTACTTTTTGCAGAAAAACAGTGGTGTACCTATTGATATAGCAGAGTCTTTCTACTGTGGGGATGCAGCTGCAAGGGAGGCTAACTGGGCTCCAAAAAAGAAGAAAGACTTTTCTTCTTCAGATAGACTTATGGCACTAAATTTGGGCCTGAAGTTTTACACACCTGAGGAGCACTTCTTGCAGCACACCGCTGCACCGTTCAAACTTCCAGATTTCAACCCTTCAGCTCTTCCAAGCGACCTCCCATTATGTGAGCCACCTGACTCAAAGCTCATATCAGACACAAAAGAGGTATCTGTGTTTGCATATTTTCTGACTGTAAACTCAAACTCATGACATCTAGAGTAACAAAATGTTACTGTATTTTCCAGCTTGATGCACAGGAGCATAAGCTGCACCTTTATTAATTCATTCACTCATTCACAATTTTTTCACTTGTCAGAGATCTTAATATCTTCCACCTTGCTTTGTTTCCATGTTCACTACTGTAGTTTAGACCATGTAGTGTATGAAAATCTCTTCTGCTTTGAACCCTTTTCATTAGAAACACAAAATAATGCTTCAGACAGTGGTTCCACTGCAGGGCTCATGAAATCCTAAAGCACATGCAACAGTTATGCATGAAAATTAGCTCATCCAAAACAAGCTTCCATGGAGGTATGGGGGTAACACTTCTGTGAATATATCCTTCTTTCAGAATATTTGATCATTTCCACTGTCGTCTGTCATACCTTTGGTCTAGGAAGAGCACAGATTTTAGGCAGCATTTTCCAGCATAATAAGTCCATTTCTGCTGTGGAAAATATGGTATATTTAAGATCAGAGCTTTCAGTAGAGGTACTTTTCTGTATATAGTTCGACAACTGCTGAAAAAGAGCATGAAAAGAGTCAGTGGACTTTTTGATCAGAGTTCTCAAGCTAGATGGCCTGCCAGTAAAGGAATGGACACTCTGGCATGACTTTTTACATGTAGCTTGCCTCTTTGTCGTGAAAGCCCTGTTACTAGAGTACAAGTAAAACAAGCACAGAAATCTCGATATAGAGTCTGCATTGAATAATGGACAACTGAGTGACCTGTAGGCAGAACTGATAAAATATTTTGTTCTGGTACTTGAAATATATGTATATTGTAGTAATAGCAGTCCATTATCAGTTCTCTTTAACCCCTTGTCATTTGTAAGCAATGAACTCAGCTTTCTTTGAGCCAGTCCTTTGTGTCACACCATGTGTAAGCACTTGCATAGCATATATTTTGATTCATATTTCAGCAACAGCAGTGTGATGTTTAGACTAAGTCACAAGTCCACATAAGATTAGATGTCGCATGATCTGCCTGTTCTTGCAGAACAAACTCATATGAGGTATGCGGTTGTGGAATGGTTTGTAGCATACAATTGTAGGTTACAAAAGGGTAGCAAAACATATTGTGATGTGCTACTTTCCTTATTTTTAAAAAATGAGAGGAGGATTATGAGATCACTTTGATCTCTCCCTCCTCCCCCAAAAGTCAGAATAGTGGAGCCAGAAGAGGCAGTCATTTCTAGACAGTGGCTCAGTAAATACAATCCCACGGGCAATGAGTACACATGCAACAAAAGAAGAACTGTTGGGTGTGGTGTTTTCTGTGCGGTCCGTGTTGCATCAGATACTGAATAGTGAGAGGAAAGTAGGTGATTAGTTCTTCCTAGAGCTTCTTAGTATGCTATGTTGTGGTGCTTTTGGATGATAAAGGTTACTAAATCACTGTTAATATATTGAAAAGTATTAGACATTTGAGATTTCACTTATAAAAACCCAGAAGCTATCCAGCAGAATACTGGATATTTAATATGTATGTTTCAATGCTATTTTTGTAACAGGTTGTAGTTCTGGTTGGATCTCCTGGCTCTGGTAAGAGTTTTTTTGCATCAACCTATCTGGTTCCAGAAGGATATCATCATGTGAACAGGGATACATTGGGTTCTTGGCAGAAATGTGTGTCAGTTTTGGAATCAGCACTGGCTGCAGGCAAGAGTGTGGTAATTGATAACACCAATCCTGACAAGGAATCAAGACAGAGATTTATTAATGCAGCCCATAAACATGGTGTAAAATGTCGTTGTTTTGTACTGAAGACAAGTATGCAACATGCTAAACACAACAACAAGGTAAAATGAAAGATTTATTTGGACAGTCATTTTCATTGGACAAAGGAATGCACTGTTTCAGTCTGTTACAGGAAATGTCTTTGTAAGAATTTATTCAAATAAAAGTAAAAAGTAAAGCTATCCCTGTAATAGGCCGTGAAAGTCCATAGGGTTGTGAGACGTTGAGGGTCCCACATTATCTAGACCAGGCATGTCCAACTTCAGACAGGCTGTGATCAACTTTTTAGTGTCAAAACTGCCAGTGATCTACCACCCCCTCCTATCATCACACCTCGCTTTAAGCAAAAATATTGGTAAAAATAACATGACACACGATGTTTGTTGTAAAAGCAACATACTTTGAAAGTACAGACTACTTTAACACGTATTTTCCCTTCAAAATCTGAATATAATTATATTATAAAACAAGTGAATTTACATGCTTTTCACATATAATTTCCTTATAGGCCTACGAGATCGACCAAAAATCGTCCCGCAATCAATGCAGTGGACATACCTGATCTAGACAATCGGCTCAAAGATGGCAGTAAGGTTGTCAGCCTTACACGCCAGCCGCACTTTACTCCCCAGGAAAATAATTTAATTAGTTCCTGGTACTCATTTCTGTTAGAGGCTGAGTTGACCTCAGGGCCATAGTGTGGCTGGAAGGATTTGGTCAATTGAAAAAATCCAATGACCTTATCAGGACTTGAACCCGTGACCTTATGGCTTGTAGCATAGTGCCTCAACCAACTATGCTACATTGTGCTCCCATTTATTCAAGTAATTCAAAAATTTTTATGAGTTATTTTAAAAACTATGATTGGACCAAATATAGCCATATTTGCAGATTTTTAAGAAGAACCATCTCATTTTCTGTTTTTCTTATGTAAGTATATGCATGTGCAGACATAACTCCTCTCTGATTCTCTATTCATTACAGTCATGTGTTAGTCATGTCATGATGCAATCTGTGTGTGTCAGTTTACAGATTCATTAAAGATTAATTTAAAGTCAACACAAATGTTACAGGAAACTAGCATTTTCGTACTAGAGAGGAGAGTTGGTGCAGATAATCTGAAAAACATTATGCATGCGGTAGCATAGTTGGTTGAGGCACTTTACTTTTAATGTTTACAGACAGTAATGAATGTCTCTGAACTTGAAAGTCAAAATTAATTAACTGCAATTACAAGAATATCTGAAGACTTTAGAGGGAAGGTGGGAAGCTTATGAATTTATAGTAGATCATGAAATGCTATAATTCATGTACCCAACCATTTTGACGTGTACAGTTTTGAAATGTCATTATGTCAATGACCATTAGTTGAAACTGTCTACTAAGCACTCTGATGACTTTGCATCATCTTTAGTTGGAAGCTGGCTGTAATACACTTGTGATAATATACAATTTATAAAACAGTGATACTAGATACTGAATTGTGACACAAAATTTGGTTGTGTAAACTACCAGAAAATGTGGCAGTATCAGTACAGTATCACGTTGTAACAGTCCAAACCTTTTAATGCTTTTTAATGGACACTATGTTCCTCTTCAGCCATTTCAGTAGAGTGACTGATTTATAAGGGAGACCCATCACATTAAGAAGTTTCGCATTTAGACAGGAACAACTGCCTTGTTTTGTTACCTGCAGCTTGGGTGACCACAAAAGGGTCGAGGCAATTATGAAAAGGCATGTCTGTAGTCTGCCCAAGATGTAAATGTTGTTTTGCTAATAGGGTAGCTGTTATTAAAGTGTCTTCGGAAGGGTGTAATTAGACCCTAAACTAAGAAATAAGCGCTTTCACATGTAGGGTTCCGGGTTCAATATCTTTGGATCTCTTTATTCTAAAAGTTAGTAATGTGATTATCTAGTACTGATGGTATGATGAATTGGCAGTTAAAATCAGCCATTAGGAAACTATTCTTGTCTGGGAGAAAGGCCGTCGGTTCAAATCCTATACAGTGATGAAGTGACGCTCCCGCAGAATAGAGTGGGCAGAAGGACTTGGCATTTTGAATTCACCAGAGGCAGACGTCATTTACCTGCTCTCTCCAAGTTTATCTAAATTTAACAGTCTTTATTTGGTTCGATTAATCTTTGATAATAATAAAAGGCCACATTACTCCCCACTTGCCAATAAAGATATAGTGTTTGCTTCTGAAATAAACAATTTGTGATTAAGCAGAAAATAGAGTATTTATTTGTATCAGTGGACTAGTTTTAAATGTGTAGTCTCCGCGTTGCCCCAGTTATTACCGTGGCACAACCCTGAGAAGAGTCAAAAGTGTTCTATCGAAGCGGGCAAATAAATGAGTCAAGTGTTCTACCGAAGCGGGCAAACAAATAAATAAACATAAAGATAGATAGGCAACGGTCACAAGAAGTGGCGAACAACGGTTATAAGAAGTGACAGCCGAAGTGCGGTTGTAACGTTTGATTTCCATTAAAAAACTGCTTAATGAAACAAATTTGTTTCATTTTCAGTTTCGAGAATATACAGATGATAATCATGAGCCAATCAGTGATATGGTCATTAACATGTACAAGTAAGTTTACTGATAGTGCATGCTGTGAATAATTTAAGTACAGAATTGCATACTACTATTGTTAATTATAACATTATTATCAATATTTTTTTTCCGCAGAAAAAAGTATGCAGAGCCAAGCCAGGATGAAGGGTTTAATGCTATTGTGAAGATTAATTTTATACCAAAGTTTTGTGATCCTGAACTGGAGAAACTCTATAAATTGTATTTACTGGAAAAATAATTGAAATAATGCAATAACTGTAAGCTGCACAAAGGAGAGATGTACTGTAATGGGAGTGAAGAACCAGCACCTAACCAGCTTTGAAGGTTTGTCTCCTGGGATATAACATTGTGTAATCCGTTGAAATTCAACCGATGTTTCGACGGAACATGTCACCTCCATCTTCACGGTTGAAGAACAAGTGAAACAGATAGAAGCTACCTGCTTCATGATAGTTTCTTGCATGGTTTATTCTTCAACCCTGAAGATGGAGGCGACATGTTCCTTCAAAACATCAGTTGACTTTCAACAGACTATACACGGTTATATCCTAGAAGGCCGCGCCATAGCTCAAGCGGTTAGTCGCTGGCTTTCCACTGCGGCGGCCCGGGTTCGATCCCAGGTCTGTTCAGGTGGGATTTCTGGTGGACAAAGTGGCACTGGGGCAGGTTTTCTCCGAGTACTTTGGTTTCCCCTGCCAATCTTCATTCCACCAATTGCTCCACAGTCACCCTCGCCTATCATCTGGGGCTGGTAGAATAGGCCGGAAGTGGCTGCAGTACAAGGGACTTAGTTCCACCCCACTAGTGATAAATAAAAGAAAAATATATCCTAGAAGATAGAAGTTTTCATAACCACTGCTATGAGAACCTCGAATCCTGCAAAAGTAGCTCTATTGTTATTTGTACTTATTTGTTTGTCTCTTATATCAGTATAGATTTTAAATTATGTTAATCTGTATCAGACCTAACAGCCTCAGAAAGTCTGAATACTTAAGCACAGATAGGAAATATGATCAGTTAGTCTGAATTGAGGATAATGTGATAATACATGTAAGTGTATGAATTGTATTCAGTATTTATTGTAAAATAAATGTTCAGAAAAATACCTGCCATCTTATTACTGTGAATAGTGTAATTGTTCATGTTTAATTTACACACTTTCATCACATCCCTCGTATTTCTTTCACATCATGTTTGAAATTTGATATTTATTAAATTTTACATATTTTAGAACATACAGTTCAGTTCTTTGTTGATTAAGAACAGGTTATACATGACTCCACAAAACATGAAGCTTTAGTTAGCTAACACCCAAACAGTTACACGCATTTATTGTGTTTTATTTGAGCCACGTTCGGATTTCCTTCAAGTGACAATTCCCAGCTGTGGTGACACCAGTGAATATGTCAATGACATTGGTAATTTACAAAGACCTTTTATTGTGTTAGTAAATTACTTAATTGTGTCAGTGAAAGAACTGGAGGATATTTGATTTGCCATGGGGGGCACTACGACATGAAGACATATGGGGGAGTGGATATATAGATTCACATATTCTTGACATTAGCACTAGTTGGAGGTGTGTGGTTAGCTTCACACCCTGGCTGCTTTATCCCAGGGGAGAGCCCCTGGTACCCACTGGACAGGAAGCTGGGTGGGTTCCAGAACTGGTCTGGATGACATGGAGTGGAGAAAAATCTTGCTCCTCCAGGCACTCAGACTCTGACCCCTCAGACGTCCAGCCCATAGCCAGTTGCTATACCACCTGCACTATCCTGGCACCGCATTTGATATGCCACACCATAATAATGGAATAGAGAAGATGAATAGAGAGCAGTGGAGACTGGTTGTAGAGGAGGCCAAGGCTCACCCAGGGCTGTAGTGCTGAGTGGCAGGTAGGTAGGTAATTAATAATGGAGAAAAACAGAAAGTTATGATTCTTGTCTTTCAGAGGATCCTAAACACTTACAGGATGTCTAAAAAAATTAAATTAGTCTTGCAAAGTTAGTGGCCCAACCAACGTGCCAAATATTGTCAGAAGATGATAAGGGCTTAATTTATTTTGAGTGAATACTTTGTTGGACACAGTTAATTGAATTTTAGACTTGGAAGTAAATTGGCATTTTCTGCTCAGATGTTTTCACTGACAAAATAACAGCATCAGTCTACAGTCTAATGAAAAAGGTACTGAGACTAAATTCATATCTCAGATCACTCTGTCCAGGGCCATAGCTGTAATGAACGTGATGTGACATGTAGCTGCAAGTACAGGTATCTTTTGGCTCATCCTTTGTTTTGGGTAATTTTTAGTCAGCATTTAAATTCTGAGTGTGTTTGTCATATGTGAATTTAACGTATGAGAGTACAGGATATATATGTTTTATGTTTTGGAAAAGATTAGAAAACCAGGAAACAAATATAAGTGCATGCATGTGGCATTAGGAGATGAGCAATAAACTGAACATGAGTGTTTGAGTGGTTCCATCAATTAAAAAAGAAATTAATGAGCCATCAAAAGTAATGAGTGTCCTGGATGACCTTCAACAGTAGAAGTGATAAATTGGTAGTTTAATTTCATGCTTCAGTGAGAAATGACAGAAGCCTGACTATTCATGAAATGGCAGAAGAGGCAGGAATTTCATATGGTTCATGTCAGATTATTTTAACTGAAGATTTGGCATGTCTGCCAAGTTTGTTTCACAGCTGGCAATACAGGAGCAGAAAGAAACCTGCTTATTTGTGAATACTCAGAAACTGATGAAAACTTTTTAAATAATATCACAACATGATGAAATTATGATCCAGAAACTAAGCAGTGATCATCACAATGAAAATTATTTTGTAACTATGGTATGCCTGAAAAAGCATGTCAAGTGTGTAACAAATCAAAGTCATGACGACTGATTTATTTAAATATGAAGATGATGTGCACTATGAATTGGTATGTTCCACAAAGTTAAGGTATTAAAGCAATAGTTCTGTTCACATATGTTCCAGATATTTCTGTGATGCAGAATATCATGAACAGCTCAAAAAGTTGGAATCCATTGAGTGGCAAGTTCATAATGCTCTGCCAACAAAGCTCAGACATTTTTTCTTCTAAAGATGGATAGACATTATCATCAATAATTCAGTAAAGTGCTTTGAATGAATAAGTGACTGAAATTATTCAGACTAAATATGCACACAAACATTTTATTGCATTACAGTTTATATAACAAAAGCAAAACTATACAATTAATCTTCAACATTAATATATTAAACTTTCTTTCAGTAAGACAATGGAATTCAAATACAGTACATCTACATGGCATTAATCTTTAGATCCAACCTTTTTTTTTTAAACTTTTATTTACTATTTCCATTTTGTGATTTAGTTTTGTAATGTCTTTTTTTCAAGACTATGATCTTTGTTGCATGAAAGAGAGGTTGTACTGTATGGAAAATGTGCATTGTGACACAGACATAACATCTAACTAATGTTACAAGCTTAAAACATGGCAAGATATGCAAGATAAACATTTATAGGCATCTCAGAGATAGAATTTTTGCTGTAATGAAATGTATGGTATTTCTGAAATGCTATTTGGTGTGTAATGATCACTGAAATGACGTGTACAGAACAACTATATCTTTATGGTTTGCATCCTGTTGTGTGTTATTTATGAATAGGTATAATTTTATTTCTTTTGATTATTTGTTGTGCGACTGTCCCAAATTATATTTATTCGTAAAACTACTACATGCTTGAAAACTGTATGCATCCATACAGTTGCAGAAACTGCAGTGATGATGTATTTGATATGTGTAGAAAAAAACCCTTCTCTTTTCTGACTAGATTAGGTCAGGCATATAGGCCTATGAGATCAATAGCACTATTTTGTGCATAAGTTGAATTTTTAACCGCTAATAAGTATATGATAGAGTGAAATACCATAATATATATAAAATTGTTTATCTCCAATTTCTAGTTTATATATTTAAAAGGCATGTGTAATAAACTTCAATATCAGCAATTATTTTAAACTATACTACCTTTTCTTAAATTATCCTTTATGACATTATTATAATCTTGGGCAAGTTTGTATACCTTGTCCTTTAGTGGTTCGTAGTCTGTTTCGGATTTCTTAGACGCAATAAACTCTTGAATAGCAAAATTATTCTGCACCAGCTGGGCCAATTTTCGTTCCAGGTTACTGAGTTGGGCATATGTTTCATTTTCATTCAGTTGTTTCTGAAACATGGATGAAATCAAATGAGAATGTTCATCCTTTCTGCATGTTAATTCTTAGTCATGGTGAATTTAAGTTGGTGAGCAATACTGCTTTATAACACTTCAGTCTTCTTTCTTGTGTTGCCTAAATTATTCTTCAATGATACCACATTGGGAAAGCCATCTACTGGCAGTGACATAAACTACGGTAAATGGCAAAACCTTGTGGCAGGTCAAAAGCTTCCAACAGCCACAAATAGTTAACATAAGAAAAGTTACATCAAAAGTTTCTGATACCCATGTGCAAATGTGTAAATACTAAATACATTGTGTCCCAGAGCAATGTCATTACATCTGCTCTTTCACACTCTTTGAGTGCTAACAGCATACATTTGGAACATCTCAAATAAGTCCATGATTTATTTAAACCGTCTTGCAGTGCATACACTCATTTATCTCCTTCTCTCCCTCGCACTACATGTTTCGGCATAATAATGCCATCTTCAGGTGCTTACTTATCCATGCCAAACTAGTTCATTGCATGCCTTGTTCTCATATTAAAATAACTAAAATATGTATCTATCATATACATTGTCAAACGTTAAAAATATTAAACAATATTGAACAATCCTGAACATTTTTAATATTTTTAACGTTTGACAATGTATATGATAGATACATATTTTAGTTATTTTAATATGAGAACAAGGCATGCAATGAACTAGTTTGGCATGGATAAGTAAGCACCTGAAGATGGCATTATTATGCCGAAACATGTAGTGCGAGGGAGAGAAGGAGATAAATGAGTGTATGCACTGCAAGACGGTTTAAATAAATCATGGACTTAAATGAGTGCAACAGGACGCTAAAATATAACATCTCAAATAAGAACTGCTTGACAACACTTCTTTCTGTATTCCATTTTTACTACTTGCTATTGTAGTGTTCTGCTGTTACCATGCTATAAGAAAAGCATGAACACAAAAAAAATGTGACAGTGTTATTCTGGGAAACCCTATAGTAGCAGGGAAGTTCAAAGAATTTTCAGGTTAGCTACCTCATACATGGTGTGATAAATTAACTTTCGCACTCAGCACAATATTACATTGCTGCAGTTAGGACAAAATTCTTCTGCTAGTCAGAGATAGAGCAGAATCTGACGAGTCATTTGCTGTTCATTTCAAGGTGTAGTTTGTCTCTCTTAGAAGTAATACCTTGTGAAGTGAAGAGTAAAACATGAAAATGCAGTGTGATCAAGGAACTTGCTCTTCAAAACAGACATGTCACTATTCATGACTTGGCTAATGAGGCAGAAATCTTATTTGGATCATGCCAAAGCAATCTGACACAAGACATGAGCATATAATGAATCACTGCAGGTTATGTGTCTGTGAAAGACCAGAAGCTGAATTGTTGCAATGATGAAACTTCAGAAAGAACTACAATTTGTAGTGGCACTAATGGGGAGAGAATTTGAGGACAACCTGATTTACAAAAAACTGCAGGTTCCACTTGCTGGGTTCAAAATACAGGACTTCTGCAAATGCTTCCAAAAATGGTGCTATATTGAGACTTACTGCATCATGTTGCAAGGGAATTACTACTATTTCAAAGGAGAAAGCATGGAATAGAGGGTAAATGAAGCTATTACAAAGAAAAATACAATATGGACGTTACTCGAACATGCATATGTTTCACTCTTTTAAGTTGGTAATACTAAAAGGAGGTCTACTGTGGGGGGTATCTGGCAAACTAAAATTGTAAATTTTTAACTGATAGGATTAATTTGGAAATATGTTATATAAGTGAGTTGCTGTATTCAAGAATAAGACAAGATATATTAATAAATAAATAATTCACTGGTTCAAAACCGATGTTTATAAACCAGATAAAGGGCTAGAGCTGTGTTTTTAAACTGACTGACTTATGCTTCATCTTTAATACCTCAGGTGTCCAGCTGAACTGCGTATATCTTTTGGCTTTTGTTTGAAGTTCTTTAGTTTCACCTTGTAGTTCTAAACCATGTAACAACTTAGCACTAAAATATCTGTTAAGATCATTAATTTTTTAACCTTGAATATTTGCAAAAGAGGTGCTTCATGTTTCATATATTTTGCAATGCCAGTTACTATCTATCTATTTATCTCTCCATCTTTGTTCCTGTTGCTCTCACTTGGAGCATAGGGTATCCGTGAAACACTTCATTTCACTTCAGTTTCTTAATCTTAGACAGTCGGTAGGACTCCTTGGATGGGTGATCAGTCTATTGCAAGGCTGCTACCTACAAACAACAACAGAATAAAAGCAGACAAACATCCATGTCTTGAGTGGGATTTGAACCCATGATTCCCATGTTTGAGCAAGGGAAGACATTTCATACCTTAGGCCGTGTGGCCACTGTGATTGGCAATGCCTGTTACAGTTTGACTTAATGAATTTATAGGTAAAATAAACGGTGAAATATCAAAGTTCATCGTGACTGCCGATTGGAAGAAAATAAAACGTGTTTTGATATATGATGTCCAATAACAGCCATTTAACAGCTGAAATGTGTCTCAGTAAATAAAATAAAAATGAAACCACGTTGTTATACTGATTACTTTATAACTTCTTAAAATATTAATGTTACAACAAAGTTTGTACCTGGAGAGTTTCATGCTTCATTTGTGCTTCCATAAGTGCAAGCTGAGCTGGTTCTTTTAATTTCACAAGCATTTTGCTTTCTTCATCCAACTGAGTTCGTTTCTCCTGAGCATGGTCTCGCAAAGAATCTACATCAGACAGTGTTCCCATTTCCCCTTGCATGGTAGACATACGCTTCCTCAAAGTCTCCATCTCATTTTTAATTTTTTCTTCAAGAGCTTCAACCTGGAAAGATACCAACAATCAGAACAGTAACTTCTACAAACATGCTCGAATAAACAGTCAGTAACATTCATGTAAAATATAAATAAAGTATTAGATATATAAAATTAATGAAAAAGAAATAAGCATTTTCAAAGGAACATCCTTATATCAATATACATATAACTCAGCTTTCAATTTAAAGCAATTGTAACATTCTACAAGAAAAAGCTCTAAGGACAAACCACTTACAGACAGGTCAGTCAGTCAGCTACAGAATTTTGTTCTAACAACATTTAGCTGATTGACAGTCATGGTGCAGTGTCTCATATTACACTGCCACTGTGATAGAAAGTGCACAGTTCATTTCGGGCCACTGCTGCACATTTGTTCTTATGATCAATCAGCTGTGAGCATTATCTGTCTTTGTACTGGACCGTAGATATATTACAGAACACAGTACAGGTTTCTTGTTCAGAGTCAGGTTGGAAGGAAGAAGTTTTATGACAAATGTCATCACCTTGTTTTTGCTCTTCCTATAATTTTATTTGATAATCCAAAATTTAAAATTGTAAGAGGTTGTACCTACATAATTTCATTATACATTGTCCCCCCTCCCCCCATTTAAGGTTTCCCTGAGAAGCAATGAATCTGAACACCAAACTGAGGACAATCACAAATGCAGAAAACTTAACACAGATCACTGAACATTAAATAAGGCGAAATCTTGTATCACTGAAGATTATATGTGGGGCACCAACATATTATGTTTTGCCAATGAAGCATACACAATGAAAGAAAGACCCTCGGCCACAGCACTACCCAGTCTAAACAGGGTTACTATATAGTTCTCCTGATAATATGGTGGCATACAGACCAGCTGATAAGCAAATTAGTAAGAAATTAGAGTCTGTTTTGGCTCAAACCTTCTGCAAGTTTTGCTGCAGTTGTCGGTGCTCCTTTGCTAGTCCTTCTGCAGTTTTCCTGGACTTCTCAAGTTCACCTTCTTTAAATGCCAAATTCTCTCTCATTGTTACAAAATCATCTAAACTGGGAAGATGACCAGAATGAGACAAATTACGGCTCATCTGTTGTAAAGCTGTTACAATACTTGACTCCAGTTGCTCAATACGAGCCATTTCTTGACGATGACTTTCATCATAAGTTGATAAGAACTGTTCCATGGTTTCCTCTCTTCGACGAAGCTCTCGATACTTCTGATGCCGCTCACTCTGAGTTTCATCCAAGTCCTGTATCCATAATAAATAAATATGAGAGGTTGATAATTGTGTTTATGTAGTCTTTTAAGAAATTAACATTAATATACAGAAGTTAAAAGGAGTGTCAACATGATTCAAAGTAAGACATTTAATTATCCCTGTGCTTAAACATACAGGTATACAGGAAGACTGGAGATTATAATCATTTCTACTCACCATAGATCAACCACATACATAGTATAAGAAACAGTAAAATTCAATGCCAGAGATCCAAGTAACCATTCCAACTGTACCTGTTCAATTTGCTCTAACTCCTGCTGCTTCTTGTAAATTAGATCTCGAATCTCTCCTATCTGCCGTTCCATGGTTGCCATTTCAGCATTGTCATCCTTAACCCTCTGTAGTAGTTGTTCCCGTTCCTGGGCTGGAGTGGATCTTGTCCTCTCTTCCTCCAAGAGAGACATCTTCCTCTCTTCAGCCTCTTTTAATTTATGATGTAGACGCACTGCTTCTTGCTTAACCTGTCCATATGCTTCAGAAATTTAATTTTATCTTTTGAAACAGCATACTGTTCATTTTTTAATAGTTTAAAACTCAAGACATTACTGTGACCAAAACAAAACAAATAATTAATGAGTCTTTTAATTACTTTGGTTTATGCTGTAATATTTAACAGCAGAACTAATGAAATGTTATTTATGCAGTCATATTTAAATGTTACTTAACCCTTTGACGTGGTCATTTAAATTCCGCGGCCGCGGNAGAAATGTTACTTAATTCACTCATTTATACTTTAAAATTTTTCATCAAGTATTTTTTTGTTGAATTGGCCAGAAAATTTGTACACCCATTGTTAAAAGTAATATCATATTTCCAAGGATTCTATTTTGTTGCACTGGGCATATACAGACAGTGTGTCAGAAGAGACACAAATGAGAAGCAAGTCACATTTACTTAACTGCATCTGCCCAAAATCTTCTAATTCTAATTAACTGTACAATAGAAACATAGAAAGTTTTATGACTAAATTAACCTTCTCTAATGCCATGAGGGGTACTTGAGAAGTTTGCTGTATGGCAGAATAAGTTATCAAAGCGTTATATAACTTGATGAAGGAAGGCTTATGGACCCATTTCCAATAAAACTATTCAGTGACACCAGTGCACCTATAGGTGCTGCTATGTTGTGTAGAGATTGTGTGTGAAATGCTTGAACAGAGATGCAGAATTTTGCATATGGTAATTGAAGCAGAGGTGGGAATCTCACCAGAAAGTGTTTTATTCATTTTTACCAAGCATCTGACATGGCAGAACATTTTTCAAAGGTAGATACCATCCATACTATTGATCAGTATACCATTGTGTTGCTATCCACCTAACTTTGAGGGGGGAGAGGTATCCATCCCTTGGTCAGATTTGGTGGCGGACAGATCATGTATGCATTCATATGACCCAGAACTGAAATGGTGAAGTACTGAGCTTGCAGTTATCAATCTTATCAAGGAACAAGACTGCAAAACATAGTCTGAACAAATTGAAAGTACTGCTCACCTTGCTCCTCACCTGTCACAAATTTTATGTTTGACCACTCCATGTCGCTATTTGACATTGGATCTTTCTCCTCTAGGACAATTCAGCACTCCATCTCCATCATGATGTGCAAAGTTTGCCAGAGGCTAGAGGATCAAAGGTGCTGGAGCACCCTCGTTATTCCCTGGACCTATCCCCATCTACAATAATTACATTTTCTTTGCTTTGGGGGAGGAGGCACCTATTAGAATCTACAGATTCCATCTACAGGAATGCCACAGTACAATAATGCGGTCTGAACACAGATGATTACAGCACTGTGAGTGATCAGATGGAAGATGTACGAGTATGTCAGCTTTGGTCATGATTAAACTGAACATGGGTGAGATGCAAGTAAGTTATGATATATCATTTCTGTTGATTCATTGTGTCTGTTGCTTGTATTAATCTTATACAGAACATTTCTGAAATCCCTCTATACATATTGCCAACCTGTGATAATGACAGCTGATCTTCCAAAATGGATTTCCTGTTAGTGAGACTATCTAGTTCTTGTTGTAATGTCTCCATCTGCTGCTGTAGCTCATTGTTAGTTTTCTGTAGTTCTTCATGGCGTTCCCTCAGCAGAGGACTCATGGCCTCAATTAATTTATCTGTCATATTTTGCTCCTAAAATGTAACAAAGAATTAAAGCAGTCAAGCATACCAATCCTTTCAACTCTTTCATAATGCTTGACCCTGCTATATATGCATATGCATACACATATGTACTTCACTCTAGGCATAGTTACTGCTGAGCTATGAGAAGTTCATGATGAAAGAGTAACCAAAATTTATACTTAATAGTACCACTGAATGCTGAATACTGATACGGAAGGGTTACTTCTGGTCACTCCAAGCACTCAGACCAATACTGGGTCCATTTTATACTATCATACACAATAATCTGAAGAACTACAAACCAAATCATATTATTACGTATCTAGTTAAGCTATTGGATCAAGTCACACTATTATTTAGATGGGCTATTTGAAAGGATTGACAAATAATGCATATACTACTCTGTCCAAAAAGTATCCGACCTTGGGCTGGGAAAAAAAAGTTCTGTATCTGGGTGGTTACAATACCTAATCGCCTTCAAAGTAGGCCCCTTGTGACTCCACACACTTAGCCCAGAGGTCCTTCCATCGCTGGAAGCAATTCTGGAAGGCTTCTTTTGGAATGGCGTGCAGCTGCACCATCGCGTTCTGTATGATGTCCTCGCGGCTGTCAAAACGACAGCCTTTTAGTGGTGTCTTCAATCTTGGGAACAGCCAGAAATCACAAGGGGCCACATCAGGAGAGTAGGGAGCCTGGCAAACCTGTGGAATGCCGTGCTTGGCCAGGAAAACCTGGATCAGGTGTGATGAATGAGCTGGGGCGTTGTCATGATGCAGCTGCCAGTTGTGTGTGTCCCACAGCTCCAGTCTCTTGCGCCGAACTGCATCATGAAGATGGCGGAGGACTTCTTGGAAGTACTCCTTATTGACAGTCTGGCCTAGTGGTGCATACTCATGATGCACAACACCCCGGTAATCGAAAAAAACAGTCAGTATCACCTTCACATTGCTACGAACCTGTTGTGCTCTTTTGGGCCTCGGGGATGTTGGCTGCTTCCATTGTGATGCCTCAACCTTGGTTTCCAGGTAATATCCATACGCCCACGACTCATCACCAGTGATCACAGTCTTCAGGAACTCAGGATCCCTGCTGGCGCACTCCAGTATGTCCTGCGCGACCTCAAGCTGGAGTTGTTGCTGCTCCGGTGAAAGCAGTTTGGGCACAAATTTTGCCGCCACTCTTCGCGTGCCCAAATCCTCAGTTAAAACTGTGTTTGCGGAACCTCTGCTGATCCCAACCTCATCAGCAACTTCACGGATGGCCAAACGACGGTCCTCCATGATCAGTGTCCGCACTTTTTCAATGACATCAGCATTTCAGCTCGTTCATGGTCTCCCGGAACGCTGCTCACTGTCCGCCGACATACGGCCATGTTTAAAGCGGTTGAACCACTCTTTAATTTGAGTGACCCCCATTGCATCATTGCTGAAAGCCTGCTGAATTTTGCGAATTGTTTCCGTTTGGGTATCCCCAAGTTTCTGACAAAATTTGATGCAGTATTGCTGCTCCAAGCGTTCTGTCATCTTGAGCAAAACGAGAATGCGACAAACACGTGTTACACCACTTCGCTATCTGGCAGTGTTGCGAGTCAGCAAAAAATCACGCATGCGCATGAAAGTCCCTTCTACCACTACGCTCAATTTCCCCACCCCTTTGGCCATTACTTATGGTGGAAAAAAATAAAGTTGGATACTTTTTGGACATACAATACATAGTGTCCAGACAAAATGTATACAAAATAAAATAACTACATCAGAAAGAATTTATTATATACATTTATGGGTTACACCATTACAAAGGGAAACTATCAAAGTTTTTTCTGAGTGTATAACTTTCTCAATAAATTTCAATGTGGGCTCCCTTGGTGGCATGACAAATATCAGGACAATATTCAACCTCATTCCACATTGCTTGAAACATGTTTGGTGTTACCATACCCACAACAACCCCTTTCAGGTGTTTAAGGTTGTTGAAGTGATTTGCACAGACTTCGTTTGAATGCATCTCAAATGCGATTGACATTTTCTTCAGAGGTCTGTCTCATTCCAGGAGATTTTACATGCAACAGACTACCTGTAGTCTTCAGTTTGTTGTCCAAGAACTGAATGCTTTTCCATGTAGAAGGTTGATGTCCATATTGTGTTCTAAAACAACGTTGGACAGCCATAAGAGATTGCAACTTTGCTAGCCTCAACATCCGTTGAACCTGTTCCTATGGTGTCAACATCGTTACTGAGGTCGCCAAAGGTCACCAGCTGGCATATGTGCTTAAGCCAGGCATGAAAAAAAGGACTTTCAGAGTTTTCCTTTCTGATGACACAAACCTGGTATGAGTATGACAATTAGTTTCCGAGATATAAATTTATTTTGGATACCTTTGACCCAGACACCCTGTATATATTTACTCATATTTCACTGTTCCTCTGTATTTAAGGTAGGACTGTATGTGGCATGAAGAAAGAAAGGCAAGGTCACTACACTGCATTACATTTTAGAGATTCTGCAAGATGTGTAGTAATAAAATACCTGTTCAATTTCCTTTTCCAACTGACCTATCTGTGCTTCTCTTTGTTGTCGCTGTGAAAAGAGGTGCTCAAGCTGAGTCATTGCCTGATCATTTTTTTCTTTCAATTCTCTACACTCTGCATCCACTTCATCTCGCTCAGTGTCAGTGTTTATTTTGTCCACAACTAAGTTGTAATCTGCCAACTGACCCTGCAATTCTAATAGAAAAACACACATAAAAAATAAGCCAGGTGTTCATAATGTCATGCAAAGACATTCTGTTAAAAGAAATGGTAACATTATATTAGATGTTTAACTTAGAATAAAGAAATTCTGGTCTTCACTTCCTAATTACGTGGTGCTATCCAAAAGTTCCCGAAATATATTAACAAAAACTATTACGTCTTACCTGGATCTTATTCTGCTCTATCACCTTCAAAGTAGTCCCCTTGTGAGCGCACACACCGATCCCAGCGTTTCTCCCCCTTTTGAAATGCATCCTGCAAGTCTTTCTTTGTTAGGGTGTTTAGTATCGTCTGCGTTTCTGCTTGAATTTCCTCAACTGTACCAAATCTTCGCCTCTTCAACTTGATTTTCATCTTGGGGAAGAGATAGAAGTCGCATGGAGCTAAGTCTGGTGAGTACGGTGGGTGGGGAACAACTGCCATCTTGTTTTAGCCAAAAATTCCTGCACAATGTAAGCTGTATGCGGTCATGTGTTGTCATGGTGGAGTACCCAGTCATTCGTGTGCCACTTCTCTGGACGTTTTCTCCTCATTTCCTCCCTCAAATGCCTTAGAACATCGTGATAGAAATCTTTATTGACTGTCTGACCAGGAGGGACTAACTCATTATGAACAATCCCATCACTATCAAAAAAACAGATCAACATGGACTTAATGTTGCTCTTGACTTGTTGAGTTTTTTTGGCTGAGGTGAAGAAGGGCTCTTCCATTGCGACGACTGCTGCTTACTTTCAGGGTCATAGCCATAAACCCAACTTTCGTCACCAGTGACAACCTTCAAAAGAAAGTTTGGATCCTCTTGAAGCTGTTGTTGAAGTTCTCCGCAGACTTCCAAGCGATGCTGCTTCTGTTAATTTCACAGCAGTCATGGCACAAACTTTGCCGCAATCCTCCTCATGTTCAGTTCCTCTGACAAAATTCGTTGACATGTACCATAACTTAGTCCCAAGGTGTTACAGAGATCTTGGATGGTCAGTCTACAATCTTGCAGAATCAGATCCCTAACTTTCCTGGCATTTTCTGGTGTGGTGCCAGTTGATGGCCATCCCGAATGATCATGTCTGGCCTAAACTGTTTTCACCAAAAGCTTGCTTCAACATTTGGTGCGTTTCTGTAGCGGTTTTCTCAAGTTTAAAACAAAGCTTTATACAGACACGCTGCTCTCTCAGGTCAGCCATCGGAAAACCACAAACTCACGGAAACATAACAATGGAAATACGTTCATCAGCATTAAACTCAAACACTCAACTTGACGCCGCTTGCCACACTGATCCAAGAAGGTTGTGTGGGGAGATACCTAGCGGTATTTCGATGTACTCATAACCATTTGCAAGCAAAATTCAAATCATGGGAACTTTCTGATAGCACTACGTATAATAACCTAAAATACAATTACTACCCTTCATTGTATTTTATGTACATGCTATGCTATTATTTATAAATAAATGCATGATTAAATGCAGGGAGCTTGAATAGGAACTTAGGGGGCTGAACTGTAGCACAGGCACAGAACCTACATGTAAGCGGTAAAAACGCGATTGTTGCCTGACGAGTCTGATGGTACCACTACTAGACATGACAGAACCTCTTTAAACCAGTATATTTTATTTAATTTACTCTTTTTTCACAATTTAATAGAAGCAGAAGTGTTTTATTTAACTTAGTAATGGGCTCATTATATCTTAGAAAAAGTCTCCCTTCCTACCAACATTGAATGATAAGATCAGTGTACATGAATTTCCATACATTAAACAATCTGTCTATTTACTCCCTTACCTGTAAGTTCAGCAGCCATTTCCTTTACACGTCTATCATAGACTAGAAAAGTCTTTTGCTCTCGTGACTGACTATCAATTTCTCTTGAAATGCGTGATATCTCTTGTGACAATTCTCTGATCTTCATTTGTAGGAGACCTACAAAGTACCTCTTATCTTGTACCTGCCTCATCTGTGGTCCCCTAGTGCCAGTTCGAAGTCCACTAAGTCCTTGTTGGGTGATGGGGCGATCCACTACATTCACCTGTATTAAAAAGAAATCCAAACAAACTCCGTGGTTTTAGTCCGCAAGCGAACTATACCGACCAAGCGACCGCTGCTTGTCGGCAAAGTTAGTGTCGCATGGTCAGTGCAACGAATCCCCATGGCCATTAATTTTAGGTTTCTAGACTGGTGCCGCTATTCCCTTGAAACAGCTCCTCATGAGGCTGAGTGGACCCCGTTCCAGACCAACTACTTCTCAGAAAATCTGGTAGCACTGGGAATCGAACCCAGACCTTTGATCTGTAGCCAGGAACTCTGACCACTAGGCCACGGAAATGGTCCATTCATCTGTATTATAAAATACTATATTCAAAGTTGGCACACAGTAAAAAAAATTTTTTTTTACACTTAGTGGGGGGTGGAGTCCAACTGGGTCCACTCAGCACGACAGCCACTGATTGGCCTATTGTAGCTTGCCCCAGATGATTATGATGATGGAGAATTTGGTGAAATGAAGATTGGCAGAGGAAACCGAAGTGCTCGGAGAAAACCTGTCCCAGCACCACTTTGTCCACCACAAATCCCATTTGACCAGACCCGGGATTGAACCCGGGCCACCGCAGTGGGAAGAATGCTATATATTCTTTGAGGGTATCTCAATCAGCAGCAATATTCTGTATATATCATGTGGTTATTTCCAATTTCTATGAAATATCACCTCAATAAAGATGGTGATTACTTCATGGCTAACTCCATGGACAGGAGTTACTTCTGAGAAGTTGACAGTCATTCCACTGGTCAAGGAATTTCTTATTTTTATAGAATCCAAAGATATATGACTGTGTATTAATCTCACATCATGTTGTATTCTTAAAATATTTGCACGGTGCAATTATGGCACATCTACACTATTCTTTCTGTTTCCTTTTCTAACATATGTTCCAATGTCAATAATAAGTAGCTAACTAACTAACTAATTAACCCCATGGAACTGAGCTTCTTATCCTGAGCCAGATCAATCCACTCCATACAACCCCATCCTATTGTCAATAATTCTACTTACAAATTCATCTTTAGAATTTATCTCTATGTACTATAATGAAAATTTCAATTTCAAGCAGCTATTGTTTATCACAAACTGTTATAGTACTGTATCTCTTACAAACAGAGCCATGTGCAATGCACATGTTTTTATTTATAATTCAAAACAGATTCATAATTATTTTCAAATGAAGATTGATAAGAACTTTACACACTTCTCTACACCTTGTAAACATGACCAAACAATTATACATACTCAAAACCACATTTACTACCAGCCAGCAATGCAGATTGGGCCAATGAAATGAATGTAAGCCTGAACTGTATCATGAGATATCACTAACAAAATGTGGTGTAACCTTTGCATTATTCTGCCAGTGACTGTAACAAGGACACAAGCATATTATGGGTTTAAGTACTGGTATAGATATTATCACTTAATTTGAAATATTAGTCCATGATATGTATACAGTTGCTGTCTTGTAGTGCACTCAATTTCACCTGTTACTTCATGACATGTTTCGGCAACATAGTGCCATCATCAGGTGCCCTAATTATGCTAATCTATTTCATTGCTTGCCTTTATAAAATTATTTAAAAAGTATGGCACTATGTTGCCGAAACATGTCGTGAAGTAACAGGTGAAATTGAGTGCACTATAAGATGGCAACTGTATACATATCATGGATGAAAATGAGTGCAACAGGATGCTAAAATAAAACATTTGAAATATTAGGTAAAAAAAAGGGGTAATGCTATCCCTGTAACAGACTATGAAGGCCCACAGAGTTGCAAGACGGTGAGGTTCCCACATTTTCTAGACAATCGGCTCACAGATGCTGGTAAGTTTGTCAGCCTAATGCACCGGCTGCCCTTTAGCCCCCCAGGAAGATTCCTGGTACTCATTTCTGTTAGAGGTTGAGTCAACCCCAGGCCCGTAGTGAGGCTAGAAGGATTAGGTAAATTGGAAAAAGCCATCTCATCAGGACTCTAACCCATGACCTTCTGGATTGCAGCATAGTGCCTCAACCAACTATGCTAGCCTGTGTTCCCAAAATATTAGGTAGTCTAAAGTGTTATTTAAAGAACTAAACAAAAGACAACAAACCTGTGCTCCTGTTAGGGTCACTGCAGTACCTGTTCGGTTTACTGGTTGCTGCATCATTGCTGTAGCTAGACGGGATGCGGTTCCTGACACTGTCGCATTACGAATTGCAAATGTGGCAGATGGAGGTCGCATTGTCGCGTTTCTACTTGCAGTCATGGGTCTCAGAGCATTCTGTTGAGTATATGGTCGCTCATCCATGACAGGGTTCTAAAATATAATGATAAACACTGGTGATTTTCTTCTTAGAAACATGTTTCAAAATTCTCACCATACAAATTTTTTAATGCTTCTGTTTTTGTTACCTTCTTGTACTTACCCAAAATTACATTATACTTACTGATTACAGCACTGTGATAAGAAGTCTTTTGTTTTTGTTTGTTTGCTCTTTTTGCCAGGAAATGCAAAAAAGGTGCGGTTCAAAATTTGGTCGTGTGACTATGGCTGAGAATATTCAATGTACCACGCAGATTATGAATCAGCAATTACTTCATTAGGTGCTATTTTCAATTTTTTTTCAGACAATGAAATTGAAGACATTTTCACCTGTCTCGACATCCCACGTCGTGAAACGGGTCTCTCTTCACCTGAATCTCTTGTCACAGGCCGTTCTTCTCGTCTCCATCGAGTTGTTGGTCGTTCTTGTTGATCTCTTGTTGCTGGTCTCTCGATTTCCATTCAGTTAATTTCATACGCAAGCGAAATGTAAAACAAAATTAGCAATTTTAACCCCTCTATCCTAACTTTCCCCTTTTCAAAGCAGGTACGCGTCTCAGCTAATCGATACATCAATAAGGTGTTGCATGAATTGTGCTTTTCCCCATAAAATCACAAGAAAGTTTCTCTACGTTCTATTCTTGAAACTCGTGTACTGGCATTAAGTTGAACGGTACAAGGTTAGGAAGGCGGTAAAGGGAAAGGAGAAGCAGGAAAAAATGGTATTGAATGAGTGAGGTCTGCTACGGTTTTATGACTAATATGTTATGCACAAGAAAATGTCTTGATGTATCAACTTAGTAAAACGTAAGTCATCATTGGAGGAAATATTAAACTTATGTTCTAAACAACTATTACAAATTATCAGAATGATTTGCTCTTTGGAGAAGGATGTGCCAATATTGTATGTCACTTTGGGTATAAGAACACTGAGGGCAGTTCTCTTTAAATAATAACGTCGTTTACATGTGTACAGACAGCCTTGTGTTACTGGTCCTTATTCTTTGTAATTTGTGAAGACTTAACATGATTGTTGGATGAATGTCATAATGATGTTGCTTAAGCATTGACTTAATGTATAATTTGCTGTTATAGCCTGTTTATTACCCATAAAATATAAATGAAAGGGCACGTTTGGCTGTAATTAACTTCGTGATTGGGTAATACGTTAAAATTTTACTGGGTGGTTCAAGATACCCGTTCACCACATGTGAATATGTGTGCAAAAATGAAAACTGATACTCATGAAATGGGATAGAGTTTAGTGATAAGCAGCACAGGCCCCAGTAGTAACGTATAGTATTATGATTTTATACACTGAAAATGATTATGGGCTTTTATATTGTGTGATGAAAGCGTTTGCTATAGAAGTGATGCACAGTATGATAATATGAGAAAGTACAATGCTTTTGGATTGGTCACGCTTTGTGTATACAAGGACATTTATTGTGTGGTGACATGGCACATATTTCTGCAGTTTTGTATACTTGTTATCATTTTACATTTCCTGGTAGAATGCCTACATTATGATGATGATGATGATGATGAAGATGACAACAGCCATTATACATTTTATCTTCATGGCACATTCTTGGAGATTCTCACCATATACTGTGTAATGTTGTTGCATTCCTTAATACATTATAGGTTTTCAAGCCTTTTTAAGTGACAGTGTTTTCATGTTACAGTGTTGCCATATACTTGAACACATATTTTGTGTTTTTCTATAATAATTGTATGATGGTTATATAGGTTGTAGGACTTCTGGACCTATGTGTATAACTTGCCCAGTTGAAACAACTTTATGAAGTAAAAATTAATATTGGGCTTAAAGATGTTTGAACATAGTACAAAAATAAACGAAGATCAATTAGTGATTTCCACAACATGATATCTGCATTAGAATCATGGTCCACATCTATCAGCAAATGAGTTCTCTCCATTTCATATGCTGATATTGAAGATCTTTATGTTGGTCGTAAATACCATGACATTTCTGTAAAGATTTGATACTTAGACACGTGTGGACTTAAACCTTGAAATATATCATGTCATTGATATCACAAAAACTCAAAACTTTAATGTGCATCAGTATTTAATATATTCCATTTTTCTTTTGCAGCATAAACAGTCCCTAATGACTGCACTACCCAAAGACAAACAGTTTCTACCCATTGGAAGTATGGACTGTATTTTGATGATGGCATATCTTTCTTCAGGTAAAATATAAAAACAGTATACGAGGGTCGTACTGAAAGTCATGAGCAACAATTTTTTGTAAAGTAACATGCTTTCTTATTGACAAACCAAATACACCACCTCAATCTACAGACCTTTCTTTATTTTTCCACATAATTGCCACTTCTTTGTACACATTTCTCCCAGCTTTCTGGGAGTTTGAAAATTCCCCTTCTGTAAAATTCCATTCCAGCCATCCGAAGACACTGACACACTGCTTTCTGAATCGCCTCCTTTGTCTCAAAACGTTGTCCACGCAGCTGATCCTTCACAAATCCGAAAAAATGGTAGTTGGAGGGTGCCAGATCAGGGCTATAGGAGAGGTGTGGAAGAACATCCCACCCCATCTTTGCAATTGCTTCCAATGTGAGGCGAGCGGTGTGGGGGCGAGCGTTGTCATGCAGGATGATGATGTTTCGTCCCGGACGTTTATCACACAATGCACGATGGAGCTTGTGCAGCGTCTGGACATAACGAGCAGCATTGATGGTTTGCCCAGGTTCCAGGAATTTGGCCAGAATAAACCCCTCTGCATCTCAGAAGACTGTGCCCATCATCATCTTTGCAGCTGATGGTACTGTCTTTGCCTCCTTTTTTGATGGAGAATGCAAATGGTGCCATTTCATACTCTGCCGTTTCGTTTCAGGCTTGAAATGGTGAAACCAGCTTTTGTCACCTGTCACAATACAGAGCAAAAAATCATCGCCTTCATATTGATATCTCTGCAGCAGTTCTGAGGTGATGGCTTTTCGCTGACCTTTGTGGTCTTTGGTCAATAACTGCGGGACCCAACGAGCACAAACTTTCCTATAGCCCAAGCTTTCAATCATCTCCTGTACTATACTGTGCCCTGTTCCAAGTTTTCAGGCTATTGTGTCCACAGTCACACGCCTGTCATCTTGAATGATCTCATCCACTCTTTCCTTGTTGTGTTTAGTTGAGGCTGTTCGAGGACGACTGCTCCACGAGGCTCATCTTCGATGCTGGTGTTCCCATCTTTAAAATGTTTCATCCATCTTTGAACACTGCTTGCACCCATAAGCACGCTGAAGTCTGGTGAATTTCTGCAGCAGGGATTTCCTCTTTCACAAGAAATTCGATGACAGCATGCTGGCAAAATGACATATCATTGGCCAGTTTGTTAGGAGTGATACTGGTTACGTGATGCAAGCTATTGACGTCACGTGACACTCAAGGTTAACACAACACCTGGTTCCACCTACCACCCTACTCTCTTTCTTCTGCTGTTCCCGGGTTGCATGCAAAAAAAAGTTGCTCATGACTTTCGGTATGACCTATGTATATGTAATCAAACTTAGTACTGTCTTAGGACATAAATGGCGAGCTGAGATAGGTTAGTCTGTATGGCCACAGGCTACGGGTTGGACGGTTGGAGTTCATTGCCAGCAGGAGCAAGATCTTTGTCTCTACTCTGCAGCATCCAGACCAATACTCGGGCCCACCCAGTCTCCTGTCCAGTGGGTACTGGGGAGATCTTGTCCCATGGAGAAAGCAACTGGGGAATGAAGCTGACCACTCACTTTCATCTGGTGCTGAGTACAAGAATGGTGAAGCTGTACCTCCACTCTCCAAAACATCTTCATGGCATAGTGCTTAATTATTTAAGCACAGGAATAGCTTTATCTTTTTTGCCTTAGGACATAAGTTATTTGATTTTGTATCTTGCAGTACATGAAATTTTGTTCTTATCTTTCCAGTATATATTGGCACGGCATTAGCATCAAAATATTCCCATCAATCTGAAATTTGTAATCCAACCGAACTGAATGATCTTAGTGGCATAATAAACAGTCCAAATTATCCAATGGTGTACCCAGATCACACCAGCTGTACATGGATCATAAATGCACCTCCAGAAACTGTAGTAAAAATAAGGTAATTGACATTATGTTTACCTGGCTGACTGTTCTGGTAAAATAAATAATGGCTGAAACTATGAAACAAGTAGTAAGATGTGTACAAGATTCTTCATTGTCTATTTTTGGTAAGAGTTTATTCTGTAATAACTTTAATGTTGAATTTTTAATTTATTATCTTTCTGGCTTGTTATACTGCTTTATTATTTTCATGGATGTTGGGTGATATTTATACATGCATATAATGCCATCCATCTCTTAACATTTACTTTGTTGAGTTTAGTAAAGGTTGGTATGTAAGGACATTATTATTCAGTGTCACATCTGAGTATCTAGCACTTGTCCTGCATCTGAAAGAGCCTAGGTTTAAGTTTTATTTTGGTGACAAGAACTACCAGCTAACTCAGTAATGGCACTGGAATGAGAACAGAAAACTCAGATTCAGCCCAGAACCTAATTGTCAGAACCTGTGTGTATTGTAAAGAATTTTGTTGAAAGCTCTGTGTATGCAATTGCAGCATACACCTTCCATAATTTTAATAAAGCAATTACCTAACTATGTCACTCCATGGAGCTGAGTCTTTCTTGAGAAGCTGCCAGTTGTGCAGCTACTCAAGAATTTCCCAGCACTTTATGGAATCCGAAGGTTAATTACAGTGTCCACAAGTGTTTCTGAGGCCCTTTGTAATATTTTTAATGAACTATTTTTTTTTATGGTAAGGAGTTATTAGCCTCTTGCCCAAGCTGGAGGACCACCCCTTGAGGGCTGTCTGTGACTGCTTTTTCAGTATATTTGCACCCACCCTCCATAGCTGGAGGCCATCTCCCCCATCCATAACCTGAGGACACATCATACTGTGGTGACAAGGGACCCACTGAATATGGTCCATAATTTTAATACATATTTTTATACAAACTACTCTCTTTAGGAGGGGCACGTGGTAGCACTGTGGCCCTGGGGTTCACTCAGCCTCAAACAGAAATGAGTACCAGGAATTAAATAAATAATTTTCCTGGGGAGTAAAGCACGGCTGGCGCATAAGGCTGACAACCTTACCGCCATCTTTGAGCCTTCACGGCCTGTTACAGGGATAGCTTTACTTTTTTTTTACTTACTCTCTTCAGGAAAATTGGTGCGGTTGTTCAGGTTGTTTGTGCAATTCTTAAATACCCTCATATAAATATTTCACCTATTAAATTAAATTTGACTACCATTTTGCTTTGTATGAAGTTTTCAGAGTTTCAGATATATTTAATCATGATATTTGTTTCCAGATCTAAAATATTTTAGAGCTGTGGTTCTCAAGCAAGAATTACCCATGGCTGCCAATGTTTAAAAGTTAGAAACATGTTCTGTGGCCACATAATTTAAAAGTCTTAAAACATATAGCTTTTTACACATAAAACAAATCCTGTGACGTAGATTGTTATTAATTGAGAATTTTAAGCAAGTGTGAGGAGTGTAGCTGCTTACTAGGTGGGCATGTGCTCACTGGACATTATTCCACAGCAAAACAAAGAGCTGCCTGAAGACTTATCTGATATGTTGCAGTTCTTGGTTTCCAAGGAAGATAGAGCACTGACTGCACATTCACAAATTACAGTTGTTGAAAACAATTAAAATTAAAAAGGCCCCATGAGCAAGAAGCTGTAGCAATCTGAATTAGGTACAAGTCACACCAGAAGTCCTCTACCGTAGCACCTCACAAAAAAATGTAGTTCAGATCTTCGTCTCGGTTATCGGCAAATACCTAATATCAGCCCAAGTAAGAGATCTCAGTGACAGAAAAGAAGAAAGGCGTGGTTCAGTTTCTTAGGAAGTTTCCGGATTGTATTTGGTAGATTTTAAAGATAATAAATCCATCTTATTGAAAAAAATTCGTTCCATTAACCTGTCTTTGAGTTCATTGTACTGTTTTTTGAGAAAGTTGATCACTTTTTGCACAACATTACTATGAACGGCCAGAGGTGAGAATGTAACAATTTGATCAAGAGGTGAAAAATTTGTTAAATCTTTTTCTCTTCTGTCTCTTGGAGAACTATATTTGTTACTGTATACCTAAGTGTTTCAGTGATGTTTAATATATCATAGTTTGGCATGGATAATATAGCTGATGATTTACAGCTTTCACTGTTAACAGGTAATTTCTTAAATAGAAAATACAGCAGTATATGGTGTTATGTTTTAACTGTTTGAATAGAATGTTTACTGATTGCAAAGCAGTCAGCACACTGTCATACAATTTTCAGAAGTGCTGGAAACTTGTCAAAACTCAGTCACTGAATTGTATTATAGCTAAAAAGTAGGTTATGTTATTTTTTTGGTCATTGGTGTCACGTGATAAATCAGACCGCTTATTTTAATACACTTCTTGTTTTAAAGGAATCTGTCATCTTCATGATAGATTCAGTATCTTCCACTGTGTCAACTACTGATTCATTTGCAAGAACTTCCTGGTGTGCAAACACTGCAAACAAAAAATATCAAAATCACAGCCGATTTTTAAAAGTGGCAGATGAAGGGTTGCAGCTGTTTAGCACAGACCCACAACACCAGTGTTAAAACTGGTCAGTGACTTTACAGAAGATATGAAGAAAATTTATCTCATGACTGGAAAATGGTTTTGAATGATGACAAAAAGAGCTTACTAGAGATGAAAATAGGTGGAGGGGCTACCTGAGAAGTTACATGTGGCTGCACTTGAGAACTGTACATTGTAGCATTGAGGTGCAGTACATCTATTCCCCCCCCCCTTTTTTTTCACTCTTTGTTGTCCTCAGTAAGAAAAACATTTGCAATACAGTATAAATTGAGCTTATACTGAACATTTAAATGTTTGATGAAAGTGTTCAATGACATGGGATAGACATATGGTATGTTCTTAAATGTCAAGTTCTAACATTTTAACCAGGTTTAGACCTAACATATTCAGTTATTTACACTACTAAGGTGCCTAATGGCTTCATTTTCAGTGTGATAGACTTTGATATTGAAGAAGATGTAAACTGTCGACATCCTCCATGTTGTACCCACACTTGGTTGTCCTTACCACGGAGTGGAGGAGGGGATACAAAACAGTACTGTGGCATGAACCCACCTCCATCAGTTGTTTCAGTGTCCCAAGTCAAGACAAACATTAAGTTCCATACATCAAAGGTTGTCAGAGGAGGAAGAGGATTTCAACTTAATTATACAGTTATATTAGGTATCTCTCTGTTGTAATTTTAATGAACAGTGTTGTTTTAGAAGAGCTTGAAACCTATATTTTTTTCATATTGGATGTTATGATGTGATTTTGAGTATACGCTGCAGAACCTATAATTTTAAGTAATATAAATCCACTCTTCTAAGCTTAAATCCATTCTTGCCATGGAATTGTACTTGAGTATACTCATATTAGCTATGTTTTCAAGCTTCACCATTATTTCTTTGTTTATTCCTTTTTTTACAATGCAGTATCAACTGCCATGGTTAAGAAGCATCAGCCGAGGAATGATTGATTATGAATAAAATGGGAAGGGTGTTGAAGGGGAGCAGCTGTAGTTTATTTTGAGCTACTGCTCCACTTATGGAAAATAAAAGGAGCAGGGTAGCTCACTTGGTATAATGACAGGGTACTTGCTGGACAGCCAGGGTTCAATTCCTGGCAGGGGCAAGAGATTTTTCTCTTTGTAGCATCCAGACTGGCTCTGGAGCTCACTCAACCTTCCCTCCAGTGCTTACCGGGAGCTCCTTTCCATGGGATAAAGTTGCCAGGAAGGTGAAGCTGATCTCTCACCTTCATTTAGTGCTAAGGTCAAGAATACCTTCACTCCTCCATATGTCTTTGTGGTGTGATGTACAATTGATTAAGCTCAGGGACAACTTTGACTTTACCTTATGCAATTTCACCCTCTGCAACATTTTTTTTTTTTTGGAATACATCTGTCACATAAATTGGGAGAGCTTGTGTTTTCAATGATCATAGTTTATATACACTGTACAGTATGTTAGTCTTTATGTGTTCTTATTTTTGATTGATTCAGAAGTGTTCACAACTGGAATCCCATTGACTTAGATACACGATCCAACATGGTGCTATACACTGCATAAAAATGTCTATCCAGTATATGTGTAAAAGGTAAAAAGGTCAAGTTGTCTCTGTGCTTAACTAATTAAGCACTACACCATGAAGGCATATGGGGGAGTAGATGTATAGATCCACACTTTCTTGACCTCAGCACTAACTGGAGGTGAGTGGTCAGCTTCATGCCCCTGCCGCTTTATCCCCAGAGGAAAAAGCCCCCAGTATTCATTGGATATGAGGTTGGGTGGACCCCAGAGCCGGTCTGGACAATGTGGAGGAGAGAAAATTATTGATCCTACCAGGACTCAAACTCTGACCCCTTGGTTGTCCAGCCCGTAGCCAGTTGCTATACAGACTGTTCTGGCTCCACCTACTATATGTGTGCAACATTTAAATATTCTGTGTGATATGTTCAGACTCTACTTAGGAAATAAATATTACATGATTACAGTATCACCATGCTCTGGTCCAGATGAAATTCCATGCATGGATCAAGAGGCACGTTGTTTCAACAATGTGACTGAACGTTGTAATGGAGAAATGAACTGTATGTCAGGTTTAGATGAAAGGGGCTGTAGCAGGTGTCGTCCAGATGAATATGCATGTCGTTCAGGTGAAGGATGCTACAAAGTTCATCAACTCTGTGATGATAAAGCAGATTGCAGTGATTATTCTGATGAAATGACATGTGGTAAGTTTGTAAGATGTCATTTTGTATGTATTGTCAATTAATATCCCTGGTCAGAAACCTGTGATGTAATTTTGAATTGTTTCATTTTTGGTCCGTTACACTATTATACATAAAATCAATACAAAGTCCGTCGAGTGTAACAATGTTTTTTATGTCACTTCTTTCTCACTCTTGCCTTACATGTTTCGGTTTTAGTAAAACCATCTTCAGAGGCACATGGTACTAACAAGAAAACACTGGCGTTGTTTAACTGTACACAGTATATATGCTGTGTGGGCACTGCTACAAATGTCGATGTGTAAAAGCACAACACTAGCTTGGAGTACTGAATGCACGTACAGAATGCACGTTCAACCTTCGCATTCAATCCGAAGTTGCCCTCGCGTTAAAACATCACTATTAAAATATTTAAAAGTTTAAGACTTTTGAAGTAAAATATAAAAATGTTAGGCTGCTTCTTAATTTATCCCGATGTTGGGAGATGTCTTGAGGTTGCATTGGCTTGTAGTTGGATTATTGCTGTGCGTTGTGTGTTGTGTACTGCACTGTGTACACTCGACGGACTTTGTATTGATTTTCTGTGATGTAACTTTACTTCTGGACTATACATTTGCAGTTCGATACAGAGTTAAGCATTTGTTTTTGTAATTTATTACAGAATTAGTAAAGAGCTATCTCAATATTTATGTACTGATAGAAATCAATTTAGGCAGCATACAAAAGAAAACTTCAATGAAATATCAGTATTATTAATATACATAAAGAAACACTCCCTTTAGGCCAAAATTGGTAGGCTGAAAGGAAGTCTGATGAATGTTCAGCCCTGTGTGAATTTGCTAATTAAAATCTTATGTTAGCTTAGTTTTTAATGTGTTACAGTTTGATCCTGAACGTTTTCTTATATTGCTTTATACTTATTATATTGTGATTTTTTCTTTTATGTTTGGGGAAATGTTAGTGCAACTTACACCACTTTCTGTGTGAAAAATTATGTTAAAATAAACATTGTGAACAACATTTTCAGTGTTCTCTAGTGCATGTATGTGTGTTCTATAGTTTTAATTTAGTAATCACCACTTTTTCATAAATCATTCTCATTACTATAATTATGAGTTACTGTGTCTGTTTAAATATCGTACGTGCTTCTACTCCAAACATTTTTTCTTTGAAAGGTGATGTGTATGTTGTACTTCTTCTGAATTGTTTTGTATGGTATCTAAAATTTTTACTACTAGAATTGGCATATCAAATGATAATGTGGTGTGGTGCAGTCTGTAAAAGAGATCCTCATCACAAGCTGTTTTACATCCTTTAATGCTATGACCTTAACTGAGGAGTCCAAAAATGAGGGTCAGAATTAGGAAATCAAATGTCTGGGGAAGAATGTGGTTTTGAAAGTCACAGATACAATGCCTATAACCTTCAATGAAATCGGTGCATTAGTAGTTATGGTAATAAAATTAATAATATGAAGTGTTAAACCATAAAGTGCACTTAATCGACTCACTCACTCATTCATGGAGCTGAGCCCTTCTTGAAAAGCTGCCATTTGTGCAGCTACTCAAGAACTTCCCAGCATTTTATGGAACCCGAAGGTTCATTACTGTGTTCACAAGAGCCCTCCACTGGTCCCTATCCTGAGCCAGATCTTCACTTAGGTCGTTTATCCAAGGAATCCATCCAGGTCTGGGGTGTCTTGCAAATTTTTGTAACAAGCTTATTCTTTACAGTGAGGAGTTCTTAGCCTCACGCCCAACCCCCAACCTGGAGGTCCACCCCTTGTTGGCGCTCCACAACTGCTTATTCAATATATTTGCAGCTTACCTTAATTAAAGATAAAAGAAATTCCATAAAACTATTTTGAAAAACCTAGGATGAAAGCTCTTTGTTATTTAATCCCTTGGAACAGAGTTCTTGAGCAGTTGAGAAATTTCCCACCTTCCATGAAAACTGAAGGTTCATTACAGTGTTCACAGGAACCCACCATTGATCCCTATCTTGAGACAAATCAGTCCTGTCTGCAACATCACCCATCTTGTTTTGGATTAGTTTTATTACTGCTTCCATAATACTGTGATGTCATTTTTGTGCATTATTGCAGAAGAGAGCTGTGATGGTAAAATTGCCTGTGCTAATGGTGATGGTTGTTACACACCTTCAGAACATTGCAATGCAGTACAGAATTGTGGAGATAACTCTGATGAAGCAGACTGCAGTGACAGCAGTGATGAACAAAGTTGTGTTAAGGTGAAAATATGTCAAATTTTGAATTACTGATTACAGTGAAGTCCCCATTTAAAGTTTTCCCGTATGTGACAGATATATCCGAAAAGGTAGGGTGACTGGATTGTTGATTAGGAAAATTTTAATCCTAAGTAAATGAAAATCTTGAACTCAGATTTTTTATATGGTAGAATGATAGAACTGAGCTGGGAGCATAAAAACCTAACCCAAAATGAAGAAATCCTGTAACTCTACAAGTGTTTGCTATATTCTTCTGTGCCATCCTTAAATTCAGAAATACAAGGTACTACACTCACATCAGAATGACTATGAACTGGACATAAACAAGCTGAACAGTGAAGTTCTTCTAAATAACAGACTGGTAACTAATGTTTCATTTTCATCAAAAATTTATATTTATTCGAAAGAAGTATGTGGTCAGCAATTTTTCATTTATCACAATTTATTTGAAGGGCTGCTTGTAAGTACAGATGAAGGAGTTTAACAGATTGAATAGGCATCCATGATAAGTATACACAACATGAACAAATAAATGTGCGTAAGCTCACTACCATCTGTGAGCTGATTGTCTAGAAAATTTGGAGCCTTGACATGTCAACCTTATGGGCCTCCATGGCCTGTTACAGGGCTAGCTTTGCCTTTTAATAATAAATGCAAGTTTAAAAATATTTGTATTGAGACTGTGGATAAGTGGATTTTAAATGACTTCCTAATTTAAGCTGTATTTCTGGAGCCCTAATTTAAATAAATCTTATTTTTATTGTTCTATAGGATTGTTTTTTTATTGTTCTATAGGATTGTTTTTGAACCTATATGTGTTGGTCTAGTTTACTTGGAATACATATATAATGTCAAAATGCCATACAGTATTTTAATTCTGTTTACAACGTCCTGTCTGATAACTGACAGCATATGTGTAATGTACCTAGCCAAAACAAATTTTTACAGGGGTTCATAATAATTGTTTATAGGACTGAAGTAATCTTTTAGAATGGCATGGGTTTGCTGGAATTTCTGTTAGTTCATAAGATTTATGATGGTGGCAATGAATTGCAATAATGGTATTGCAGTTCAGAGCATGTAAGATGGTAAATTACAAAACACTACATAAAGCTCCATGGGTCTTCCATTATAGTGTCTGTTTACTTCACAGCTGTCCATCATCACAGCGGCCATCATAGGTTCACTGATCTGTGGCTTACTGCTGGTCATTGCAGTCGGTTGCATGTGTCGCCTGTACAGCCTTCGCCTGTCTGTATCTAACAGTTATAGGATCCATCATGATGAAGTCAGTCATATTCCTAATGGCCTGAGGTCAGTTCCTCATCCAGATGATTTCTTCCACCGTGAGCCTCCACCTGCTTACACAGTTGCAGTGGGTGAGTGTCAGCAACTACAGTGTGTTGCTCCATCAGGTAACTGTCGGGCATTTACCCTTGCGGCATCAGAACATCACACCCCAAACACACGACACCATCATAGTAGCAGACAATCATCTCGAAGATGTTCAAGTGGGCGGAGAAGATCACAGAGGAATTCAATTGGAAGTGGTGTCTCTCCTACAGAAGCTGATCTAGCATTGCCAGGAGCAGCTAACTCTAGGCAGAGACCATCACATTATTCAGACTTTCCTCCATTGCATAGTTTGATTCATACTCCATCCATTCCCATTGCATCTACCAGGGAAACTTCCTTAGCTGCACAGCAGCGAGAATCCATGATTGTGTCTGGTCGTGGTACAAATGAAAACAAATCTGTATCTACAAGCACAGCACTTAGTATGATATCTAGAGAACAGAGAGATCTTCCTACTTCTGTTGAATTGTATGATACATGCCTGATTGACCTTCAACAAGACTCAGAGGTTAGAGATGGACATTATTCTTCTCCTCTCTTCTCATCTAGTTCAACTTCAATCTCAGAATCTCCGAGTAGAGAGAGTGTCACATCATCAACAAGCCTACTGTCATACCTCTCAAGCAATGATGACACTCAATTGCTTGTGGTGCCACCACAGTAAAAATGTTGAGGGCTTAGAATGAGGTAATTTGAATATTCCACAGCAGCATTAACAAGTCTGTATTACTATTACTAAAGTATTGAAATGTGATATCAAGAAATAGTATTGAAGGTACTCTCCTCCTCATAAGTGTTGTTCTGTTTATTAATTTCCCTTTATCATCTGTTATATTCTGTCACCCTGTATATCATATTTGGTATTTATTATTTTATTGAATATATAAGGTGAATGCAACACATATTGTGAAAGAAAACTACATTACAGCATAACTGACTTTTCCTTCCTGATGGAAGTTATGATATAAAACATACGCTGTTAATGTATACTGATTCCACACTTTGTTCAGTTCATGAACTTGTAAATTATTCACTATAAATATCTGATATATATTAATGAGACTCATAATGTTCTGAATGTAGAATATACTATTATGGCATATGTTAATTAACATATGTTAATTAACCTAGATATTCTTTTTTGTTTCCAGAAATGTAAACTTTTTTTTTTTTGTAATTTGTTAGAATTATACCATTTAATTTTCTCAGTAGCAGGCAATATATATAGAAAAATAGGAGCAATACCTGAAGATATTCACCTAATTTAGTGAAGTTTAAAATGTTTTTCTTATTTAACAATTCACTGAACACTCTTGTGCATGAATATTAATTTAAGCCTACATTTACTACAGCTTCTTGTAAAATCTATACAAAAGAAGTCTGAAGTGAAATTGAGGGAAAATGAGCAGTTAATCATACTGACTAATAAATGAGCCCATGATTTCACATCGCAAACGTACCAACCGACATAAGATCATGTGTACATAAGTTCCATGCATTGTTAAGTACAATATATTTGTAACTGCAGCAAAACAAAGTAAATAATAGGACTGTGGCATATTTTGCTAGGGAATGGCACAACAAACACGTCTCCGCGACAGCGGTGGCATCGCACAATAATGAAGCCACTCCGGGAAGTGGTGTTTTCTGTGGGTCCGTTACAACTGTCATGTCATACTATAACATAGCAACTGCAAGAAAAGGTGTTTTCTGTTGGGTTGGTCCCGAGGACCATTGGGACAAGTCAGTCAGTCATGAGTCTTGAAATGGGGGAGTTAGTCCAGTAGAGTTCAAGTTTGGAGGCAGGCAGTCTGAGACAGTTGTCCCTGGCAGAGAGCCCCGATTGTTGTAAGCAGCTGAGTAGCAACACCCAGTTAGTTGTGAGAGAGATCCCAGTCATTGAGGAGTTGGAAGACATTACCCAGAGTGCAGTGAAGACCATGAGTGGAAACACTAGTCTGTGTGTGATAGTGATTTGTGAAATGTAGTCTTGAGAGTCAGGAGTCTTGAGTCAGCAGAATAGAAGACTGTAACCAGGTAATGTTTAGTTCAGTTGTGAGACAGGCAATATTGAGTGAGGACTGGAGCCATGGAACACAGATGCTTAGGAAGCTATGGCATTGGAAACTGTCACCAGAAAACTGGTTAAGACATAGAAGACTGAGACTTAGTGCATGCTTTGGTGATTTGTTAAGTACGTAGATCTGTGAGACTGTTATAGTTACTTGCATTTCCGAGAGTTCAGAATCCAGTAAACGTGGTTACCAATCTAAACCCCATCTGTAGTCACTCAACACATGACAGTATAATGAATCAGGCATTTCAAAATTGTTAAAAGTTGCTCAGCCAGAAAGCTGTCGTGTATTATTCATATGACTCAACCCTGAAGTTCAGAGCTCTGCAGTTGTTTTAAATGACTAATGTATACAGGTTGTGTGTAGCATTTTTTCGAGTACTAATAACAGTGAGGGTTAATTGTAGCTCACAAGTCATTGCCTTTAATTGCAGTAATAAAGAAGTCACTCTTCATAATTACTTGAGAACTGTCCAAATATCACTATTGCAGTATGAGGCAAAGCATTATATACTGACACATTTGGCACAGCAATTGACAGGAGATTGATCAAAACATAGTGGGGATATGAAAAAATCACATCTATATTGAATTAAAGCTGAATGCTCCAAAATACAGTTTTTAATCTTTTGTAAATCATGTTTCTCTGTTAGAATGAAAATATGTCTGTTGTCATAAGTTAACAGTTTTTATTAGCCCTTTTCTCAGAGGTGATTTCAAGACTGATAAATTGTGAATTACTGGGTTCTTTAATTGTACTTAATTACTCTCACTGGTAGACATTCCTTTATTTCAAGGATCTGTATTGATCCACCATAGAGAATGGTGCAAAAATCAGGACACACTTCATATTTTTCACATAATTTCTTTCATTTCAATTAATACATACTGTTGCCACCACTACTCAGTATCAATAGATTCATCATTTTTTTCTGTGGCGCTACAGCCCCAATTTGGGCCTAGGCCTACCTCCATGAAACTCTCCGATTCACTTCGGTTTACTAGATCTTAAGCATTCGGTAGGACTCCTTGGGCGGGTGATCAGCTCGTTGCAAGGTCTCTACCTGTACACAAACACAGAAAAATGCACATACACAAACATTAAACATCCATGCCTTAGTAGGATTCGAACCCACGATCCCGGCTTCCGAGCGAACAAAGACAGTGGATGCCTTAGACCGCTCGGCTACCGTGACCAGCAGATTCATCATAAAGTAACTACAGTAAAACTTGGTTATAGCAACATCGGTTTCTGCGACACCTTGTCTATTGCGTCAAATATTCAATGGTACGAACTAATTCCTCATAAAGCAACTGTTTTTATACCTTGCTTAGTACAACATGCACAAATGCATCAACCTCGTATGTAACGTCATTTTCATTCCTGAATTTCTCTGATATCGTGGGAAAGTTCGATGTGTCTGCCCACCCTCACTTTCTCTACTTGCTGACGTGACTGTCCTGGAAGAATACGACCGCGGGCTGCAAGA